GATTGATCACTGGGTGGTGATCAATCTCATGCGTGTCAAGTCCTTAGTGTTGATCGAATGCTATCGATCAAGTTGCAATATGGCCACCAGTCTAAGTGGCTCGACACTGTGTGCACTATATATATTAAGGTAACATGGTGGTTGGAGGTGGTCAACAGGAAACCCTGGACCCGGGTTTCGTGCTACTTGGCACTCGTCAGCAAGGTGTACCTGCAATCTTGAGGGTGTCGAGCCACCTAGACTGGTGGCCACATTGCAACTTGATCGATAGCATTCGATCAGCACTAAGGACTTGACACACATGAGATTGATCACCACCCAGTGATCAATCAATTGTGATTAGATCTCAGTCCTACAGGTGGTCGGTCGCTGCCCGAATAGCTCAGTAGTAACGTCTCTGACTGTGAAGCTGAGTGACACGGGATCGAATCCGCCAGGGAGCATCAGTTCCCTCAAGATTACAGGTATTTGCGCCAAAATCCATGACCTGTTATCTGATATCTGACTGGTTCGTCCATAAATTACAGTTTCGGAAATATATTTACTTCAATTCAGTCAGTCAGCTACAACGTAGGACCAGGCACATATATGCATCGGTCCAAGTTGCCATACCTCGTTAGCACAACAAGATGAACACCGGATTCATAGAAGTAATTAATTTAGTGGTGGTAGTATATCGAGAAAGGTTGTATATAAGGATATAGTATAGGAAGGAAAAAGTTATGAAGCAATTTTAATCTCAAGGTTTAAGGAAAGATAAAGAGTGTATACACCTACGCCATTGTGATCGATTCAGAGCCATGTCACACAGAGTCTCCAACCATTGGTTACGATAGTCACACGGACCGCAACCGAGTAGTCTGAATCTAACAACATGGCTCAGACTAGAAGTTAGCGACTTGAAGCACTGATGCCACGTTTTGGTTTGGCCACCCCTATCTTTCTTCCAACCATCGGTAATACTATGCCTTGTGATACAAATTAGTGATGAAAAATTAAGCTTAAAATAAAGTTTACAAAATAAAAAAAATGATTCGGACACAGGAAACAAAACTATCAGGATGTTGATAATTGATTCTCAATCAAGAATACATTACATGGTCTTTAAAGTTTTAGCCTAAAAGAAATCCAACCTATTAGTTGCTTCCAAAATCAGCTGACGGCTCGCGGATTGAATTCAAACGATCTTTTCAAACTACTTAAATTGTTAAAAGTAGGATATTTTAATATAAAAATTTGTGTTTTACAGTTCTCATAATAAAAACAAAAAGATATGAGTAAGTTCTCATCGGGTTCTAAAATTCTCTGTCCGGATTAAAAATCAGAGAAAGCAATCGATTTTGACGCAAATCTATTTTGATGAGTTGAGACAACGAATTTAGGGTTTTCCGTAAATCTGGAAATGACCAGCATGGAACTTGTACTTGTACAAGTAAAATGATATTGAGGGAATAACACCAGTAATAAATGAAGTTCACATAGGTTGACAGGAATAATTATATGATCAGAAATAAGTTATCAAGCAACATAAAGAAGCGGCTAAATTACAGGTGAACAGATAGAATTTGATCAGCACAAAGAACTAGACAAATATTAGTCGCTACTCAGTGACCAATATAAATAGATCAGTCCTATAAGTCATCAGTCATCCCCGAAACCGCTTATTGGTAACGCCTCAGACTCTAAAGCTGGGTTATACGGAATCAATCCCCATTGAGAGAATCAGCTCTCCTAAAAGTGAAGATATACCCTTAAAAGTATCAAAAAGCACAAAACTTAAGTCGAACAGAGTAGCCTACCAACTGCTACATCGAATCACTAAAATCAGTAAATTGAAACGGTTTTTCTAAAGATTATACAAAATAATGCGAATTAAGACACTACTAAAGAACAAACGCTCTTACAACAATGGGGAAACTAATAATTACAACTAACCATATCCATAATTTGGTACCTCGGTTTAGTCAAAAATCGATCAAATGACAAATGCATATCACTGACCGAAATTCAGCTTCTTTTCCTAATGAATAAGACGCATAAAATTGGTTGGAAATATGAGTCGATCTTCTAAAGGATAATTATATACGCAGATACATATGGGCGGATCTACAGACGTATCTCGATTCAATTTATTCAGTACAACGGTTTTCTCACTCAAGTAGCTTGTTTGAGCTCGCGTATAGGAAGTGTACAACTAAACATAATTATCGATATAAGTCACATTGTCAATTCTGAATTTATGGATATCGTTTTCTAACTAAACTAATAACGAATCCCTTGACTCCCATTGCTATCTAGAAAGAAGAATGTGACATCATCAATAACGCTTTTACTACAAAACAAAACCGCTGAAAAGATAACTTGTTTGAAACAGCTGATTACCTATTTCATATCGATAGAGCATAAAGATTATACTAATCTTCAATAACATTACTAGGTAATAATCTACTGTTGATCCGCGAACATATCTAGTACATTTTAATCCGTCGCTTGTCAGTAGTAGCTAAACATCTAATAAATACGGAACGCAACTATTTCAACCTAGTAAAATATGACAACTGATCATTGCAATCAGTTAAATGACTTTTACATCCCGTCCAAAAACTTAGTTAGCCTGACCCCTAAAGTGCTTAGATGGAGGGATATCTTTAATGTTTACTAATAATACGATGCCCAAAGATTAGACTTAACAGTCAGGTCTTAATTGACTGGATAATGAGTAACCTACTAGCTTATTTCCTTCGATCGCCTATGACATTTTATTATGTTTATTTTGTGTTTATACTCCGCATAAACATGTTGTTTTGCTACAGAAAAAGAACATTGATCTGAATAGTGATATTGTCTTTGATTCCTAAACATTCATAGGTTTAGGCCAGTAACACGCTCTCATGAACAGACACCACTCGCCCACACCAGATCATTGCATTCATCTATCGATAAGCATTCTATTTATTAATTTTGACAGTTGAGAGTTCGTTAATCAATCATCAAAAGCCTTCTCCATAACAACTAAGTGTAGATGGAAAGAAAAATGTTAGTAAAAACTGATTAAACTGTTGGACGAAACAATCAGAATTCCGCGCAAAATTGATTCACCCATTTGTCCGAATGGCGTTTCGGCATTCTAGTTGGATTCAGTTCGTGGTGAAGACCCTAAATTCAATTCCTAGCCCCAACCATCAATTTTAAAAAACAATCCTTATTCTCCACACTGCTTTATAACCCTCATGTAGCCCTAGTGGGTGAGTGGACGCTATCAAGGTCACTTTATCGTCGCTCAAATGTCGTTCAAAAATTATAATGCCACCAAACTGTTTCTTAATTATCTTCAACCATAATCAAAATTACCGACTTCAAACATGTATCACTACTGAATCATAAATTTAATGAGGGTTGATGTTACGTCCTTGAATCTGTCTACCCACTTAGTGCGGAGTATAATGTAGATTAAGACCTTGACACGATAGACTGACTGGCTTAACCTTGAGGACAATATGCGTGAGTTCGAAATAGGGGTAGAGAGACGAAAACTATTCTGTCCCTGATTGGCTGGCAAGCACGAGAGAGAGAGAGAAGACAAGACAGATGGAACACTAATCACTTTATTCCAACCCGATCTAGCACTCGAATTCCCAATTCAGATTAGGGTGAAAAGTTACATGAATAAATAGATGACTAAGCGGACCACAACGTACAATAATTAGAAAAATACAATCATGTCCAAAACTGGGGAATTATAGTAGAAAATAGGGTACAAAAGATTACGTCTAAATGACAATAGCTTTAGGACAGAAAATGCTATGGCGATGAATTATACATCAAACGAAAGCTTATGATCTGTAGAATAGGCTAGGAACAAAAGTAAATGTTACAATTTTACAAGCTTTGAATTAAACGAATTAACGTCCCCAAAAATAGCTTCCGTAATTTGTTAAGGCTTCTTGTTTTGCGGTTCACATCAGTTGAGAATAATAAAATAATCATTGCAGACTGAAAGTTGAAATCTTTTTTGACCAACAGCCAATGGTTCCACAGAATGAGGCTAGGGATATGTAATATGTTAGTTTCATCAGTGGATGAAGATTCACATTTTCATCAACCGGTAAGCTGTCTTTACCTAGTATCCTACTTGTAACCTCAGCACTGCTCACTTGGTGGCTCCATGATACATGAGCAATGTCTTGAAAACACTTACTATTAAATACTTGTAACTTGTGAACGTCCTTCACATTTTATCACCGTTTTAAATATATAGAGCGAAACAGAGCAGACTGCCGTACAGTATACTCGTCCTTTGACTGGTAAATGTAAATTTCGCCTACGCAAGTGGGGCATGTTTGTAAAAGCCGAAGGAACGATCTAAATCCACACCAAGACCTCTTCAAACAGCATGCCATCAGGGTATGGGAAATGCTCATAGCAATCAGCTGCTCCATTCTATATAATCAATCTAGGCGTTGGTACAGACCAATCCTAAATGAACATTTTGTATTTACAGGGAGAGAAACGCAACCTAACTTTTTAGTAAGGTTTTTAAAGACGTTTAGTAGGCCGAATTTCGTCAACGTATTCAAACAGGAAAATGTCATCTAAGTACTCCAAGTAGACAAGTGAATCTCCAAGATGGAGACTGATCCATAAAAAGCTAAGTGAAGAAAGTATAATATCTAGAAGGACGTTCGTGATCAGTTAAATCAGAAATGGAGATAGTAGGTAAACCTGAAGAGTACTACTTGGGATTGATGACTCTGATGACCATTTACCACAATTCTTGATTTCATTCTTAATGTCCAAACAAAGAGCCTTTTAATGAAAATCACCACAAAACCTACCGCTTAACGACTTCGGATACCATTTAAGTTGTATCTATGCTCCGAAACCTGGTGAAAAGTGGACATAAATTTACAAGCAAAAAGTATATTTTCACGAAAAAAGAATATGTAGGTCAGTACTATGAATGGTTACCACAAATGTACAAACGGTGAGCCAAAATATTATTAAGGTTCAGGGAAACGTCTTAGAAGTTCAGTAACTTGTTTTGATGATAATCGATTAAATGGTCTACGAGAACTGTCAGTAGGTGATACAATTTCTGGCTTTTGTCCATCCCTAGTTGCTCTCCGCTTATCCTAAATAAAAAAACGGATAAATTAAACCTCGTATGATTTAAACCAACCTCCATTACATGAACGCATCTATTGAATGTGTCTATCACTTGAGTACAAGGATGTTGATCAAAATCACTTTCTTTCAAACAAGCTAACATTGCTAACATTTCTTCGACACAGACAGCTCCTTAAATAAAAAGGCACGACGGTTATAGATATTACAACGATGATTTACTTTTTGTTCTATCACCTTTTCCAACCACTGAATTTTTAAGAACCGTAGCTCTGCGAAAATCATACTTATAGTATTGAAGGTCCGGGAAATGAGTTGTAGAGCGTTTATAGAGTTTGCTGCATGTATCTGTTAACTTCATGTGAAGATTAAATCGACTGCAACGTACCGAAAAGAGAAAGACAAAATTGTTGGTACTTATTTTAATTTAATATCAAAACTTCCATGATTGAAATCGTTACTTACAGTAAAAAAGTATAATGAACAACCTTTCGTTTCCTTACCTTAGTGATGTGGAATATGTCTGAATGTAGGAAGCATACATGAGATTTGAATATCAGTGTCTAAAAGCAGTGATAGTGTATATTGAAATGATCAAGTGAGTGAATAATAAATTAATTCTTCATTTGTTGTGGGCATTCGTTAATTGGGGCGACTGGGACACTTTAAGCAACTAGAAATACGGTTTGTGCTGGTATTGTAAGCATTAGAGGGTTTGGGAATATTAAGAGTAGACAAGGATGTGATAATAACGACTAAAGTAAATGACTGTAAGACTATAATTTATATGCATACCATGTGATGTAGGACAGCAAGCTTCGCATTTGAGTGCGAAATTTACTTCTCCGTATGGGTAAATAGCATTTTGTTATTCTAGCTGTTGTCAGTTTGTAATGAAAACTCTAACATCTATTTCTTGATTCTAATTCTTCACACTAACTTATAACCCTCTTTTGACCCTATTATATGAAATATTTCAGAATCAATAGCACCGCTTAAATCTCGAGCTTTAAGATGATCATATATACATTATAGTCTCATCGCATTATACAATAAATACTACGACTAACAGAAGTGAATACTAATACCCATGCAAACGTTTTTACACAGCATTAACATGGTGCTATTTTTGGGTAAGTATTTCTCACTGAAGACATAGAATAATGAACATCAACACTGTGATTTGAGACTCACTAATTCATATGGCTTAAATCAGCGCGCCATAAAGATGTTGGGTAACTATTAATTGACACATCATGATACTGGCCTTGATAATAATAATGATATTTGTAATTTTGCTCATATTAAATGCAAAATTATAGAAAATTCGTGACTAACGATTTTAAACCGATTAAAAACTCATTTATATGCATAAAAAACGTTCAGCAATGAATTGACAACAAGTGTGTTGGATTCATGCTTTCTTATATTTCAACGTAATTAAGCATATTCAACTTACAAGACGAAGTTAAACGTAACCTTGAGAGACGCAAGCGTTTAAATCTGCTCCGTCAAAGTAGTGTTTCAATATTCAAAAACTTTATGTGAAGCAGGTGCAAGCTAGATGATTTCTTTCCGTTCACTTACTGCCGTTCACATATAGTTTCAGGCCTTCAATTGTGCTCTGTCTTAATATTCGGTTCATTATACCCCACTAGTCCGAATGAACACGACGATTTATGGTGACACGGAAATTAGAATCATTTTGCAAACATAATATAATACCGCATCGTTTTTTCGCCGTTTGATGGTAATTTCATCACGTTTGTATTCAGCGTGTAATATCCGAGATTACACATGCAAATTGCATGATACTCCTGTTGCTTCTCCGGGGTAAAATTAAATTCTTATTTAGTTTATCCTTCTTCTGTCTTACTGATCAATGCTCTCCATCGAAGTCTGAAACATTGTTATGTACCTTGAGAGGCTGCCCCTGTTATTTGACATTATCGTGTGATGGCTTGACTTCAGATAATTCCTTAGGCTTCGTATATCAATCACCGTGAAAACCAATATTAAATATGCGTGGTATTATTATTAATAGCTTTATTCAATATTATATGTCGAGTCGCAGTTGACTATGATCACCACTACAAACCAATTAGATGCCAATTATCAAGTTAAATCCCTCAGTATTATAAATATTAAAAGGACAGCTGTAGAATGTAGTTAGGATATATTTGTTAGTGATCTCATAGTAATAATAATGAGATCGTGCCGAATTTTACAGGCGAGACTACCGTGCGTGCGTATGTTCTCAGTTGCAAACAACGGAAAAAGTCTGTTCTAGGTACAATTAAACAAAAGGTATGGTGAAGCAATCACTGCTACAGTTGGTTACAATAATAAATATTACCACTACATCAACCGCGTTCTCTTCATAAAAGTAGATCACAATATTTATCCCAAAGATTTTGCTCTTCGTATAACACTGTCTGTTAAATAAATAAGCTGGAGAGCTGAGCGAAATTAATCGCAAAGGAATGCAATTGTAGGACAGGTGCTGTAATAGGTTTATATTGTTTCCAATAAACCATTTGACTCATTTCTATCACCATCAACTCCAAGAAAGTGGAGGTGTAATGGCTAAATGTGTGGACTCTGCTCGTAGTGATCATCTTAAAGGAACTTTCAGATAACACTCTTCGAGTGTTATTTCTTGTTATTTTGTTGTACTTTATACATAGTCTTATCTTTAGTGTGCTTTTCCCAAGTTTTTACATATGTCTGTCACCAAACGATTTTTCGGTTTATGATTAAGTCCTCATTGGAATTGTCGCAATTTATTCGAGTTTAGGTGAGTCTGTCATTTTTAATGCAGTAAGGCTTATTATACAAGTAGCTGTCACACCACCGACAATTACATAATATTTATAAGGCAAAGTAGTGTTAACCGATCTATCCTTTCTCATTTACTTTTCGATGTACAATAATTCTTTTCACAAGATCTTCAGAACCCGTTTCACAGAACCTGGGTCTTTGAAACCTAACAACCGAGATACGATGGCTTCAACCCTTCTAAAATAGGCCTTTAGTCATTGAGTGAATCAGTTTAGTAGTAGTACGTCCATCTTTGATTACGCTGTCCAGATGCTGCGCACTCGTATGGGCTATCTGTTTTTAGCAACGTTGAAAATTTACTCACTTACCACTAGATAGTACGTCCTAAGAGATAGCATTCTATTAAAGTGATCGGCAAAAACTTTGCCACTCAATATTTTTATGAACAATAGATGTTCGACAAGAACCCCCAGTGAGCATTTTAGTCAGAATGAGGATAGATTTTCAGTCTACCTGTCGTCCTTTATGCTCTCACTTTTAAGCGTTCGTAATTCGGGTTCATATTTTCTGTGGAATGTTTCAGCTCGGCTTACTAAATGAATAGATGCTCACTCTTTTCAAGGAAGCAGGATCGAAAATTTTTTAACTCAATGTTTGTTAGCTAAACTCTTTGTACGACAGAGCTCACTTGTCAAAAAATCTTTCCGGAGAGTTATTGTGCTTTTAGCACCTATCTACCTCTCCACCTACATTCAGACGTTTGACGGATTCACGAAAACAGGACTACAATTTACAAACTAACCGACTAGATCTTTGGGTAGTTAGTTCTGGAATTTGAAGCTCAATTTACTCACCCCTATTTGATATCGGCTCACAGTGAAAACGTCTCACTATAACCCTTGTTCACACTGATCTGTAACCTTATTTCTACCTTATTAAGTGAACGAGGTATCTAAGAACCACTTAAGCATCGATCAAAGGTCGTCTGTAAATTATAAAATCATCTCAGTGACTTTGGACCGAATGACTTAAAAACCAACTCATTCATCAAGTGAGCCGGAGGTAATGGCTAAGTATCACAAATATGACAAAACGTCACTATGTACCGAGTCTATAGTAGCAAGTTCATTACGAGTCTTTAATATCAAGGATTCCTGAGATGCAGAAACATACCAACCCACTGAAAGAGAGATATTATTCATAATAACGGTTCCTGGTTAGTTAGATATCTCATTGTCACCGGAGAATAGCTGAAGGATTTAGGTCTAGATAGGAAAACTGCACTTATCTATGCCACTTGTATAATAAGTCTAGCTCAATATTTTGTACTATTCATAATGTGACTGTCTTATTTACAAGATAATGGTTCGAAGTCACATGATTGTCTTCAGTGACTCGTCCTGTTGTACCGATCAGCAGTTATTACGTGAACCTGTGAAGAGGACATTTAGTCTGGGGATAGAATAATACATCTAGCATAAAGACCGAAAGGTAATATGGAATGATCACGCCTGCATGGTCAAGCCATGCCATCAAGAATAAATCCTCATGTGTCCACTTTTTCGGATCTCTTCCAAGTGTTCAACGGCTAGCATAAGTTTTCTCATTTACTGTATGTTCAGCTTCAAAGATCGTGCTGCTAGGATCCAATGTTATTACATGACTACCTCGAAAAAGACGACGCAGTACTGAACTCAATTCCAGCATATCAGCATTTTACCGTTACAGTAATCAATCAAAGATCTGACTTCTTTGGACTGCCATGTTTGTAACAGAATGAATACCATGATAACCCTGTCAGTCTCCAGTTTGATAGCATTGTTAGTATACTCGAAATTTTTTCACACTTTTGTTCCTGTAAACATTTACCTGATGCTTGTGTTTTCAAAATTTTGAATTTCGCATTCTTCTTTTATGAAACTTTAACATTTGACATTGGTTAACTTTTACCTTTCGTATATCATTTCTTTATTAAATGAACTTCAACTGTTCGTAAGAATGTAATATTTACCTAGTAGTGCAACTGTTTGCTGTAAGTATTGTTTGTATACTGAAAACGCTTGTTCATAAGGATGATTCCTTTCGGACAATATTTCCATCCTGTTTTATTGGCAGCTGTCGTGTGTATTCGCAGTAGTTTATTTTGTACCAGGGAAACTTTAGACACTTTCCATTTTTCAAATAACTTGTTCTGATTGTATGGTGCTACAAAGATTTACACATAAAACTGTGTTTCGATACACTGTTGACTGCAAATGGCCCAAAGAAACTTAAAAAATATGAAAAAATGATGTAAAATGATAGTCTTAATCATAGAGATACCGGTTTCGTCAGATTGTTTAAACTTTTGTGATTAATTATTTTATTTTAAGTCATTAAAAATTAGAAAACTATACATACATGAACCATCAGCAAATTGGAAAATTAACAATCGTATCTAAAATTATTATGGAAGGGCTTCCTACAGTAGGTCGAAAAAACTGTTCCGAGACTTATTTTTTGGCTCTTTATGATATTAAAAATTCAGTTATTACATGAACTGGGAACCTTGAAAATGACACAATTTAAACCAAAAAGAAAAAAATGAACACAAACGAAGGTAATATATATGAAAATCGAAATCCGGCAGACATCGAGTACAAAACGAGTCATTAGTTCATACAAACATCACAATCACCACAGCTTCAATTAAATCTAAGTTTGTGTAATCAAGTGAATGTCTTCTCTTTAGGTTAATTGTATGTGTGTCAGACTCTGTATTGGACACAGACTCTGTATGATCTAGAATTTGTTCATTAGTAGGAGAATTGACAGCTAAAATTAGAATGGACTGATCTGGTTCCTGGAATTGTATATGATCAACATGTCGGTTGAGTATTGAAATCGCTGATATCTAGAATTTGAACCGTAGACCTTCTAACATTATCCTTCCATACGAAATAATATAGGGTCCTTATGCCGCAATGTTATGACCGATTTGACATGGCAAATTTCACTCATGAAATTCATGTGTATTTCGTAGTGCTAAATGCTGTGTGTAAAATTGGGCACATTCAGTCAGTTTGTAGTACTTTTGTTCATTGCTCTGGAACTAATACTAACCTGCATAATTCCGATCTCATTGAATTGAGTACTTCCAATGATCATTTATTTTTATCCACTGTTCCGAAAAGCCGTATAGAGTCATATTGCAGTCTAGAATCACATGAAATATCAGAACCATTGTGAGACTAATGCTACTATTCAGTTCATATCTTATCGGATTTCTCACGTTATTTTATCAGATATAGTTTGACCTAATGGTCCACATATTTGTGACGAAGTTGCTTAGTAATCTGAGGAGAATAAGTTGAGTGAATCAAATCATGGTGCAGTTTGGAAAGATGCTGATTTTTCTACTAACCTATGACATTTTAGTGAATTTCTTAATACATTTGAAAAACATATTTCGGAAAAATTTAAATTCCGATGCCATATCAAATGTTATTCGTTCTCATAATGCTTTTTTTTTCTTGTGTGAAATTTATTCAATGCAAAGCACGAGTCCTAAATGAGCTCGATTTGATTATAATTTGGATGAGTTCATATCAACGGTTGTTTATCCTCATTATGAAGTCACTTTTAATAGATCCACTAGTCAGTGTAAGAAATGTTTTAAATTAAGCCATATTATTTATAACTTGGAGATGTGATGTATC